GCCACGACAGGACTGTTCTGAATTGCTGTCAGTGTTCTGTCTCAGCCTTATCTGCTTTTCCTGACCTACAACTCACAGAATTAACAGTGCTAGACATCATTCTTTCACAGTCTTGAAAAAACAGTCTCTGGGCCTGCTTGTCGGGGGTTAGGTGTAATTTATTTATTTATTTATTTGTTTGTTTGTTTGTTTGTTCTGGCTTGCCCGTGGAATTTTTACCCATTAGTTGCGGGACAACCTAACTGTGGGTACTTGGTGGGTGCTTGAGAAAAGACAAAGAGCTCGGCTGGGCCCGGGGGGGGGAAGGGGGCAGGAAAAAAGGAGGGCGGGGACAGTTTGGCGGGCTCTTCTTTAGCTTCGGAGAAGGACACTTTGGGGAGTGGAGCTGTTGCGGTAGGGAGAAGGGAATTTCGCCATCACCCAGACAGAGCTGCTGCTTCTTCTCCTTCTTCCCTCTTGGTTGGTGGCCTCGCACCCCCTGTCCTGCCGGGACGTGTGGCAGTGCCAGCCACCGCCGCTGATGCACTGCTGATGCACCTCAGCCACCGGCCCGGGATCTCAGCTCATCCCTGCTGTTCCAGCCGGCTGTTCCTCAGAGCCCTGCAGGAGCACTGGGACTGCCCGCCCGAGGGGGTTTGTGAAACAAAGCCTCTCCTCCATCCTTTCCCGTCTCAGCCGAGAAAGCTGTCACGGGGCCCCTGTTTCTGCTTTCTTGCTAATGCTGTAATTATTGTTGTTTGTTTGCCTTGTTATACTGGTAAAGAACTGTTATTCCTATCCCCAGATCTCTGCCTGAAAGCCCCTTGATTTCAGAATTATAATAATTCGGAGGGAGGGGTTCTACATTCTTTCATTCCAAGGGAGGCTCCTGCCCTCCCTAGCAGACACCTGTCTTCTAAAACCGAGACACTGCTGTATTTGCTAACTCCTCTGCTTGCAAGGATTCCCCTCAGTGACACAGTGCAGACATCCTACAACTCCAGCTAGATGCGTTTTCAATTCCAAATATTATTTTGCTTAAAATTCAATACTAACTGGAATTGTCAGGGCCCTGAAAGTCAGGAAACAGATGTCAAGAAATGCCTTAAACCATGAATTTTACATCACGTTGCAGTTTGTGTTTTCAGGTTTTTCATTTGCAGGTGTATCTGTGAATATGAGGGCAAGAAATTATTCAAAACCGAAGGTTTTTACTTATTCATATTGAAGAAAGAGTTTTGAAAGGAATGTCAGACTGTAATAAAACTGAGAGTAATGGTTAAGCCTGCCAAATGAAAAAAAAAAGGCAGAAACATCAATTTGGAACTTTGTTTTTTCATTATGTTGAGTGCTTTACATTCCTAATTTGGAATGTTAACAAATTTCACACAAACATTTCTGAAAGAAATAAACTTATGGCCTCCTAGAATTCTGCCTGCATACTGGAATGAAAAAAAACTTAATACACAGCTGTATTAGACACCAACTGGCTTTGCCATGTTCCTCAGCAAGATGCTGTGCTGGGAGGCTGAAATACATGTGACCAAGGAGTGGCATGTCCAGAATTCCATGCAAAAGCTTTAGCTGCTTTGATTTTCTAAAACATCCATAGCATTGCCCAACACTCACTACCAAATTAAATCCCGTTAGGGCAGAAGGGCTTTTTATCTAGCGATCAGAGCCTATCTTTGCTGCTGCTTCACGCATAGGAAAGGTAGATGAAGACTTAAATACTTGAAGGTAGTATAAACCATAAATTTCACCCACATTAATTAATAATCAGTTATGGTAATAATATCAGCTTAGAGTAGCCTAAGAAATAGTCATCTTCACGCATACTGTATTGCTGTTTTAACAGATTAACTGGCAGCATCTTTGTTCTGATCCCAAAATTACAAATGTGTGTGGTATGATTCAGGACTGAAAGAAATCTCTATTTTTTTCAAATTATTCATCTAGGATATATGAATATAAAACAGTGAAGCTAAGAAAAACCTGTCCCTGTGATTAACCTATGTGTATTTTTAACATATGTAATGCAAATGGTACTGTCTTTAGGGAGCATATCCTTGTAATTCAGGGAACTAAATCCCTCTGTCACAGGGTCTATCTTGTGTCTTCCTAAATGTTGCTCATTTGCTGATTGCACAGCTGCAATGTAATTAAAATGTTTGTTTATCTGTAAAAGAGGTGAAAGCTAAACATTGATGTTCATATACATACATTGTATTATATCACAGAAGTTAGGCGGCCTTTACAAATGATTTTTCAAACACTCTTAAAAACTATTTCAAGCAACTTTTAACTATATTAAGTGGCTTTTGCAAGGGGTGTTAAAAATATCCTATAATGATATATCTGTAAGTCTCTTCCTTACACAGAAATATATAGACATATGAGTAAGACACACCACGTTTGAGTAAGTACATGGCATGGATTTAATTGCTGTGCTGCTGCCTGTGTTTCTGCCATGCAGGAGAACGGATTAGCATTATGTTTGAACTGGAATACAGGGAAGTTCATGGGACATCCCTGTGCATGTCTGCTGAGAGCCCAGCAACCACCAGCCAGCTTGTTGCACTGAATTAAGTCTGAAAACATTCTATGAAATAAATCGTAGTCTTCTGAGCAAGATAAATTACTCTTAGGAGCCATCTGCCTTTACCCTTTAAAAAAAAAAAAGTCTCTTTAAATGTAAATTTAGCTTTCCACCAGAGACAGTATTGCCATGGTAACAAACACAAGAAAAATAAATGTCTCTTAGAGGAAAACCACATTTTATTTTGTATAAACATTTTCCATAAAAAATAAATTATGCAGCTACAGAATTATTGTATACACAATCTCAGACAGTAAAGAGTATCAGTCTTTTCCTGGAATGGATCTCTGAGCTAGTACCAAACATAATTGCTTGCAGTAAAGAAATGTATTGTATACTTAATTTCATATGCTGTGAACTAGAACTCTCATCTTTCAGTTTGCTCTAAATTGACTGGAATGCTACAAACTTCAGTGAAGCATCAGGCAGGCAGCAGCAGTTTACAGAACTGGAGCCTAAAATGTAATCTCTGCCAGGTAATTTATCTTACAAATGCTTTCGTGTGTGAATTTTCTCCGCACAGTCTACCACTGGAGAGGTTTGTTATTCAAAGAGCACAGAAGCAGTGGTTTGGATTTTTCCTTCATTGAATGAAAGGAAGAATGCTTTCAGGTTAGGCCTGTTTCAGAAATAAGATTGATGAGTGGTGTACTTTAAATTGTTCACAAATTCCTCTCTACCTCTTCTTGCATCAGTGACTCCCTACAAAGGTCAGTGTGAGGAGACACCCAAGATGGGCAGTATCATTGTTTGCAAGAATTTCTGCATGGTTAAAAATAATTTATTTTTACATTGTCTACTTTCTCATTTCAGGTTTCAAATTCCACAGTATACAACTATAACAACAGTTTTCAAACACTGTCATTGTTGAAATGTTCCACAATTGTTTATTTACTCTCTCTCTTTCCCTCCTTTTGGCCTTTTGACTGTGTGTGGTGTGTTTGAAGACTCCATGGGAGTGAAGATGTCCATGGCTGAGTTTCAGTGGTGGGAGGAGGTGAGGAATTCTGGTGCTTGCCTGTGGAACAGAAACCATCCTGCACTTACTTGGCACCTCTCATCTGAATAAGACAGTAGTTTACACAGATTAAGCTCTTTCTTCTTTCTGTATGGCAGGCAGGGAAATTATAATCCCCACCTGAAGATACGTTAAAGAATCAATTTCTCCTAGAGATTATGACATTGACTTTGACATGTCATTTACTGTGAGAGGCAGCAGGAGTGGTGCTGTAATTGTAATCTGCTCTTTCCCTACCTTAGCTGCTGAGTGGCATGTTCAGTAGCATCAACATCTCTCACTTTGGATATTGCTCTGTTACACATCTTGAAATCTGAAGAGCAAAATGGAATGTTTTCAGAGATGGCTTGGGCAGAACTTCATACAAAGTAGACTTCTGAGAAAAGATAAAGCAGTCAGTTTCAGCAAAATACATCCTTTTATGTGTGTAAACAGTTCTGCAGGAAGTGTAAAACTAATATGTAGAGATGGATTAACTAAAGTATTAGGGAGTAATCAGCTTCTCCTGCATATCTCAACCTGCCAGACCATGACCTTGGCAAGAGTACCCAGACTGGGTTACACTGTGGACTGTCTTGCGTTGCTGTAAGGCCTTGGGCAGCACCTGGTAAAAGAGGTGTAGGGGAAGAAACAAAAGTAATAAGGCAGGCAGGCACTAACACTTACATGTGTATCTTCCTGGTCATCTGCAGTTTTGGATTAGCTACATGTAGCAGTCCGTGTAGCTCACCTAAGGATGTGACCTTAAACAGTCTTCGGGTCTGAGTGCTTGTCAGCAAGTATAGAGGAGAAGCACCTTCTCACAGTGCTTCAGAGGGGTGCCAGAAGCCCAGGGAGTGGGCTGACCATACACTGCTTCGAAGGCAGGGCTCCAGCTGGTGTCCCTGGGTAATGCACAGCACCCATATCTAACCCCTCCAGCACACGAACGGTTCAGCATGCTCCAGGGTAGCAGGCCAACCTGAGATGACTTCACCGTATGACACGGATGTTTTGGCTTATCAAACATCCTACAGAATTGCGAGCACATGGGGAGCTCAGGGCAAAGACCAAGGCAAGGGGTGAGCATCCTACCCCTTTTATTGATAGAGCTGGTAGCTGTGTTTCAAATAGAGGAGGTAAGAAGAGGAGAAAGGTGTCGCACTACAGTTTTAACGATTTCTATCAGTTCCTTTCTCTTCCTCTACAAAGGCTATCTCAGTGTGGGGTCTAGGATCGACGCCACTGCTGCTTAGACGGGTCCTGGGTGAAAAGGCAGGAGTAGGCACCTTCCCCAGGCCTACGCGTCCCGATCTCTCTCACGTCCCGCCTATGTCTCCACACAGGCCCCGCCCCACTACCGCCCCCCTGGGCGCGGCCCCACGGCGCAGGCGCGCAGTCCCCGAGCCAATGGGGTAGGGGTGGGGTAGGGCTGCAGCCATTGCGGCCCTGCCGGTTGAGGGGACGGGCCGTTGCTACTGTCGTGATGGTGTCCTGGATGATCTCCCGAGCAGTCGTGTGAGTGCCAGGCTGGGGCTGCGGGAGGCGGCTTATTTCCCGGGGCAGGAGTGGTCTCGATGAGCGGCGGGCGGGGGGCGGCTTTTCTTCTTCCCCCAGCCTCCTGAGCCGGGTGGTCTGCGCTGCCTTTAGGGGTCTGTGTGCCTCAAAGAGTCCTTGTGCTCCCAAAATCTTCCGCAAGACCTGCACCGGGCTTATGGTTACTCCGTGTGTCTCCTGCTCTAAGTGCATGTTTCCCGGGGCTGCGGAGCCGGCCGACTCGCGCTGCTTTGTGCCTGTCACGCACAAATTACAACCGTTGCTTGTAAACGCAAAGTAACCTATATAAAATCTGCTAACTTTTCCTTTTTAACTTGTAGCAGAGTTGAGAGGACTAGAAGAACGCTTGCGAGTGTGAGATGGCGGTCTGTGATGAGTATAGGTTATCAGCTGAAGAGGTAGATTGGCAGTGTTGTTGTGTTGTTATGGACTTCATAAAATTGAGCTTATGAAAGCCAAAGAGGCAAACTTTCTTAGGCGAGAAGCATCGTGTTATGTGTTGTGTAAGTTCTGTTTGAGAAAGAGTAAACTGCAGTGCGACCTGTTTCTTTTTTATAGGCATTGTACTGTTCCTTCCTGAAACTGATGAGTTATTGTGCTCATTTGAATAAGCATTGATTTAATACGAATTCCTCATAAAGGTTGAGTAATATTTGGGCAGCAGAGTCTTCCTTATGCTCCTTGCTGGATAGCACTGTGACTCTGGGGTCTCCAGTGATTATTGGGTCGTTTGAGCTGCGATTTGCTATGTGTGAGTTTTTGCCAGGCAAATTAAATGAATCTGCTCAGAAAGCAGTCCAACAGACATCCGAATTAGCATAAAGTATGTAGCAGGAGTGTGTGACCCAGAGCAGGGCATAATAGGATTTTCCTGTTTTGTTGGTGACAGATATCCCCCTTAAGCTGTCTGGTGTAATTTCATCTGAAAACTTTGTCAGGAAGCTTTCTCATACCGGCACGTATATTTTCCTGCTGCAGCCCAACCACTTAGATAAGTAGCCGTCCTTGTCTCTCTTTCAGCCCTCCCTGAGACTTGTCACATAATTGCAACTTGCAAAGTAGAACATCGCGTTCCAGAGTTGGCAAAGGACGACAGAGGGTTGGAAGTCTGGGAATTGCTATTGGTGCACTTCGTTAGTGTGGTCTTCCGATGAGCTATACACAGTGCTATAGGCAAGAGGCATACTCTTGCTTTCTGTACATCAGTTGGAGATGCTCAACCTGTTTCTGCTTTGTTACATAAGAGCACCAGAGAATTCTTATTTTAACTACTTATACTGTGTTGGTTTCAAGGGAGTTGGCAGCAATGCTGAGCACCTGAATTTCTGATGACTAAATTCTTGTGTAGTTAGTTGTGGTTTTTCCCCCTGAATTCCTAAGGGTTGTATTTGCATAAGTTAAAGTCCTCTATGAGCCTAACCCAATTGCACAGGGAATGAAGAGAACAGCTACTATTCTTCACAGATTTATTGCAGAAGGCAATAAAGGATAATGTACTGTGCAGTTCTGTGTAGTTTGGTTTCCTTATTGCCACTGGTCACCCATTTGTGTGCCCTAATTATTTTTGCTAAAAAGGGATTCCTAAATATTATTTATAAATCTTTTCTACCTTCTTGTGTCCTTGTTTCCTAGATGTGGGATTTAAGTAGTTTGCCAGTATTCAATTTCTCAGGAAGGTGTAAGTGTTCAATGAGAACTTGGACAGCTTTAACATTATTGTTTAACTTTGGTAATAAAGTAAAATTCATGTGGAAACAGAAGGTGGGAAGTAGCATGGAAACAGATGTGGTCATGGAAACATGAGAGGTCTTAATTTCAATGGTTTTGAGAATGTCCTTCTTGTTCTGTTTTCTCAGTGTCTGTTATCTTCCTTTTTTGATCTGTTTTCCTTCCTGGTCTCTTTTCAGATATACCTATTTTAGTGACTTTGGATCTCTGAATTGTACGTTTGGAGGTTGGAAGGTATATACTATCTTTCACTTAGAAGCCCTAAGAACCAGATGTAGCATTTTTATTCTTGTGTGGTGACTTCCTGATGCAATGTCCTTAGCAAGCCCGGCCCTGTTCTGTGTGTGCAGCCATCAAGAATACCTATCATCTTGACTGGTGATGGAAAGGAACAGCAGTTTTTCTGTCTGTGGCAGTTCTCCACTCCTGACTGACCTATGTTTCAGGGACAGAAGAGCAGCAAAATAGTAATTTGTAGGTGTGTCACAGTGCCCTCTGCTGACTTCAGACGTGGTGGGCTTGTCCTGACAACTGTGTCCCGAGCAAATTGCCTTCTGATTCAACTTGAGACTTTGCAATTTGCAATTCATTAACCCCACTAAAATAATTTTGTTAACTATTTAAGGAACTAGGGAATGGATCTAATAGAATTTGAATTCTTAATTGAATGTGAATTGTCTTGAGGAGTCATGCACAGTAAACAGGGAGTGGTTCAAATTTGCTGTTCCACATAATAATCTTCAGCAGAACTTTGTTTTAATGAAATCTTTTCCCTTTGCTCTATCAATGCTATTATTCTTTAAATATTTAAACTTGTGAAATACCTTGTACTAATTGTATATATTTGTCAGGAAGCAGAAGACTTGAATTGCATAATTAAAATATCTTTCCACTTTCAAATTCTGCATCAATTAGGTGTTGTTGTAGTAAGTATAGCTAATTATTTCTAAAACATACTGGCTGTTGCAACACCTTTTGGAATGTTTATTGCAGTGTTTCTTCTATTTTTCACTTAACAAAACCAACAAGAAGATAGATTATTTCATGCAGAGTCTCAGAAAACTTCTCAGAGTGGCACATCTTGTTCTTAGTCTTTAATAGTAGAAATATTTTTTAAAATTTGTGACTGCCCATCTTGTTAACTTAAATAGAACTTGTGACTGACTTTTAGTACGCTTGGATTGCTCATTCTTCTAATTTGTAAGATCTGAGCAATTGTGTACACATCAGTTGCTGAGACAGTATTTAATAGTAAACACACTGAATACTTGTCAGTCACAGCCTGGTATGGATGAGATCAGACCATCCTCTTTGTGGCAAGCAAACATGTGAAAGCATCCTAAATACAAACTAGATGGCCATTTTGTTCTTGCAATCTGTTAAAGCAGGCTGTCTGGTGTAATCTGTTAACTTTTTTCCCCTCCTCACTTAAAAATGAAAGTTCCCCCATCTGTATTGCTTTGCAACACACTCTTTCCCTTCATGTTTAAGTACATGGTTTGTTTCCAGTTTAGTAGCTCAGCATCCGTGAATGTTGGAAGGGAAAGTTGCAGTGATCCACAGAAGGATGTATTTGTCTTGGGTACTAGTAGTTAGCTTTCTGTTTGTATTCATGTCTTCTCCACCGCAGTTTTAGAGCCTTGCAAATATTCCTTGATTCTGATATTAGATTATAATTAAATACATTAAGCTGGACAAAGACTGGGAGACACATAAGGCAATCTGAAGCTAGGAAGTAGTATTAGTCTCTTTCAGCCTTTGATGCTTTACAGATTGGAGCCGCTTCTTTAATGGTAGTTTCCAAGGCATTATCTTTTAATGCTTCTGTTGTTGCTCAACATTTACAGATGTCCAGCTGCCACTAGAATTACTATATATCTGAGAATGGGTAGCTGAAGCCGTAAGTTGGAGCTGAAGTTTCTCTGTTGATTGGATTGTTACCAGGAATACCTGGCTTTAGGTGATGTTTTATGTAACTGTGTATGCTTTGATTGTAAACCCAGATGGTGTCTTGTTCTTGGAATACAATTTTTTTAATTAAAAGCATAAACTACAAAAATATTTACCCTCTTGTTTGCTAATCAACATGCTGTCAAACATGTCTTGAAGCGATCACAGCTCCTTGGGTGAAATCAGGTAACAGTAACATCATGTGTGTGGAAGGAATAGCTATAGCTTAATAGCCTAATCTTCAAGTCAGAAGAGCCATTTGTGGGAGAGTTTCTTTGACTGTAGCGTGTTTCTGGTGCTATGGTTGCAGCTGAAGTATGAAGGGTGTGAACTGCTGTTGGATGCTGAATTTCTGATGGTATTCTTCAGTTTAAAGGCCTGTAAGTTGTTGCTGTACCTGTGGGGGAAAAGGAGTTGCTGTCATTGAGTGAGTGAGATGTGCTGCAATGTCTGTCTCACCGCAGAATTGGACTGAATCAATGACTGTGTGTCAGTTAAACTTGGCATTTCATGCTGTGCTTAAACAGATCTCACTGTCCTTTGCTGGGAGGGACCATCCTGCCCTTCACTCTCTCCTCATTCATTTTCCACAGGATTCAAACGTTACTCTGTGACCACTGTGTAAGTCTGGTTGTTTTGTCAACTAGAATGAAAATTAGCATTGACAGAAGTTAATATTTTGTTAACTGCAATGAACTGCATTAGTTCATGCCACTGTTGCTAGTTGCTAGGTAAGTATTGTGTTGAGAATAAAAGGTTGCAGGACAAAACCAGCATTCTTTTAGGCTTTAGGGTATGCTTAAAGCATACTCTGAAACTCCATTCTTTGCTTTCACATTGCTTCTTATTCTTTCTTCTTGTGAATCTAGCTCCAGTAATAACAGTGCAGCTGTTCTAATCAAACAAGGTGTAAGATTTTTTTAAGGGTTTTCAGTTTCATGGGTTGAAATCTGTTAGCATATATAAATCTAGGGATTAAGTGTATTGTCCTGACTGTGTGAAAGTTTAAAATCATTTACATAACTAAGCAATGAAATTGCTTAGAACACTTCTCTCCAATAGTTCAGCTTCTCAGTGAGGCAATCCTAATATATTCAATGAGAAGTTTCTGCTCACTTGTATGTTACTTGTAACACCTCTTGAGTTAGTACAATGCAAAATTACTGTCTCTGACAACTTGTAAGAAAAAAGTGTCCTTACTGCTTGTCTGGCATACCTTGCCTTAAATCAACATTTGCTCTGCAGCCTAGCTGCTGTTTTCTCTCCCATGTTTACAGGACTGT